CAGTTCAGCATTGCCTCGGTGACAATATCCCTTTGGTGGGAGTCTTTTGCACAGCACGTTTTGTAGCACTCGTTTATCTCTAATTTATCTGCAAATGGGTCTTCCAGAAACAGTTTAGGCCATAATTATCTTCACGTTGGTTTCTTGTTATTGGCAGGATGGGGGGAAATTACATACCAAGAACTGTATCCGTGGAAAATCTCTCTCGTTACCGGTGTTGCTAACCCTGTTTTCTTAATGTGCCATTCCAATATTTTTCCCTTTTGTATATCCTTGCCGCTTATATTTCTCTATCTTTGGTTAGGTTGCAGCTGTAGACAGTAGATCAGAATCTGTGGTAGTCACCAAGATGACTTGTTTCAAGGTTCTTGTTTTTTGCCCCTTAAAAACACCATAGTGTTAAAACTGTACCATGCGCACTGCGATTTGATTCACTAATTAGCTGCCCTCAATTTTGTAATTCTTTTCTTGGCCTTAAATGAGTGTAGATTGTTCCGAAGCTGTTGAAAATCGACAAGATGTAGCTGCAAGTTGCAAGAAACACAACTAAGATGTTGTTGCTATGGGATCCAATGATCACTTGATTGGTAGTTTATCATTTTTTGTCGGTTCAGTTTTCCTGTATTTAAGTCGTCTCTTTCTCTCTTTGTCTTGAGGCAGTAGTAAGAGCCGTGGTCCGTGACAAAGAACATACATTTGTACCATGTAGATATTTTCATGGCCATGGCAATTGGATTCTCATTGGTCGCTTTCAATCTTTCATCAAATTCTAGAGCGAGCTCTCAACTGGTAATGTACCGCTCTGTAAAACCAAACAAATGATTTCGTTGCTTTGTTTTGCTGATATTGCTTTCACTATTGCCCTCCAGATGATGAATTCGAGAATTCCAACAGGGTATTTTTCTTTGTACAATGCAGCTTCGAAATTCTACTTGTATAGAGTGTGACAAGCACTAGAGATTTTTTATCTTCTTGGTTGCTGTCTCTTTCTTCTAAAGTTGAGATTTGTAGAGTGGAAGGACTTGGTTTCATCCTAGGCTATATGATCATCATCATATATTCAAACTGACTTTCGTTTACTTTGTCAATTTTTCTCATTTTGTCACAGAATTGACACAGACACGCATATCTCGGTTCCCACCACAAGTCCTTTTCCTTTTTTCCTCTGGCCAATTACCCCAAAGTCCATTGAAAACCCCTTTCTGTTTTTTATTTAGCTCGTGGAACATGACACTTTGGAAGAAAACTTCTCCTTGCAATGAAAGATGGAAAAGCAAGGACGCTCCAAACACTGACGGATGGATTATGGCCATGAGTTGTTCTTTCAAGATTTTTAGCGATTTGTCTGCATTTTTTTCTTTTTGGAAATTATTCTAAGGACACACTGCTGGCAAGAATTCTTATGAGAGCGCGACTTCCATCACATTTGAATTATTTCATATAATAAATATACTTCTTTTTCACATAATATATAATTAAAGAAATGTAACTTGCAAAGTAAATAGGGAACATTCAAGATGGAAAAGTACTAAAAAATATCCACTTGATCTTGAGCTCAACTTAACAACAAATGGAGTCGATATTCTTCTCAAATAATTTAATTTGCTTGTACTTTTGTCTTTAAAAAAAATTAAATAAATCTTTATATTTTTATTATTCAATAGAATATTTTTACTTTTATTTTAAATTAAATAAGTTTTTATACTTTTATTTTGAGTCAAATAAAACTTATGACAAATGATTAATTTAGTCAAAATGTAATTAGTCAATCATTAATCATACTGATTTATTGGATTCAAAATAAAAATATATGAGCTTTATTGAAAGTCTGTTTAAAAGTTATTATGAAACTCTTTTAAAAAATACTAGTTTTCAAAATTATGCTAAAATTGTTTGATAAAATGAATTATATAAATTTTAATTTTAGTTAAAATTAATATGAAGGGTATTCATATTATCTTCAATTACCTAATAAACTAAAGCAGAACATGTCTGTTTCAAGTTTATATACGATTTTAGATGTTAAAATTAAAAAAATTCATACAAAAGGAACAACTTTTAAATTTGTATAATAGTAATAGTCTTAGAGTTTTTTATGAAAAAGAAAAAAAAACTTTTGAATAGTACCTAAATATGGTTTTGAATTTTAAGCTTTTTTTCTTTTAATCTCTGTAAGAACAAAAAATCTTTAAATTTTGTTATTTTGTTATTGGATTTTTTTTTTAGTAATTTTTTTAAAAAGAGGTAGAGAAGAGGGAAATCGCGATTTTGTATTGGAGAAGAGTGATTTGTAAAAAGAGAGAGGGAAGAGGGAGATTGACTGAAAGAGATATTATTTTTGAAAAGTTTGCATATATTTAAAAGAAGAGAATGTCTTTGGAGGTTTTTAAAGTGTCTATTTTATTTTTTTTTCAGCTTATTTACTTTTTAAAAATAAAAGCAAGATCCAATAAGATCTTTGAAAAACTTTTAAAAATTTTTTTAAAGAACAAAATTTTTTTTAAAAAAACTTAAAGAATAGCTTTCTCTTTTCTTCTTTTAGAAACACGCCTTCAAAAAATACCTATTTCCCAATCAATTTTTCTTGCTTTACAAATCACTCTTTTCCAACGTAAAATCGCAATTGCCCTTTTCTTTGTCTCTTTTTATAAAGATTATTAAAACAAGAAAAAAAAATAGAAAATCGAGTAACAAAATAACAAAATTTAAGATTTTTTTTATTCTTATAAAGATTAAGAGAAAAGAGAATTCAAAATTCAAAGTTACATTCAGGTATTATTCAAAGGTTTTTTCTTTTTTTTACCAAAATAAAATCTAGTACTATTACTACTATACAAGTTTAAGAGTTGTTTCATTTTTTTATAGATTTCTTTGATTTTAATATTTAAAATAGTATATAAACTCGAAGCAGATTTTTTTTGTTTTGATTTATTCAGTGATTAAAAATGACATGAATACCCTCTATTATAATTTTAATCAAAAATAAAACTTATATAATTTATTTTACCAAACAGTTTATCGAACAATATTAACTTACTTTTAAAAGTTTTTATTTTTCATAAAATTTTCATAATAATTTTTAAGTTAAAAAAAAACTATGTCAAACAGGCTTTAAGCTTTTTTTCTTTTGAAAAATTTTTTCTTAAAAATAAGTAATTTTTTTTTTCAAGAGCTTTTCAAAAATCTTGTTTGCCTGAGCTTATTCTTTTAAGAGCTAGATTAGCTGAAAAAAAATCAAGCCAAACAGACATTGAATATGATAAAAGAATATGAACTTATGTAAATTTTTTTAAATAATTTTGAGACTTATTTAACCATTATGTCCAAAAAAAAAACAAATTCATAATGATTGGAAGGTGGTTAATGTTGCGGCCCAATAATCCACTATACTAGCAAGGCCCATGAAAAGTGGGCTTTGCTTGGACTTTAGACCTCTAAAAACCCAAATAACAGAAACAAAAAACAACTGTCAAAATCTGGCATCAAATGCCAAATGCTATCTGGAAGAAGGGAAACATAATCCCTCTGGAAATTATATCATATAGCTTTTCTCCTTGTTCCCTCTTCAGGTATGCATAAACCATTTCGAACAGGATTTCGCCCAATTTAGGGTGAGTAGTGCTCTCTTTTAGCTTTCCTAGTTCTTGTCCCTTTAACCTTTTATAGATTCATTTTTTGGGCAGTAAGAAACATGCTAAACTCGTCGTAAATTCATGGTCTGGCGTCACATTGTGTAGAACTTTGGAATTAACGTCACTTTCAATAGTTGAAATCGTACTAATTTGATTAGTTACTGTTGAATTAAGTCATTACGTGATATAATTTCATGAGGTCTTGATCGCGTATGCCTTTTACTCTAATGCTCGAATTCGAGCCAGCATTTGATCAGTTTTATTCTTTTTTTTTTTATTTTCAATATGAGTTACGGTGAATAATTTTAATTGCATTTGGCTATTAATGCGGCTTATATTAATCAGCTGTAGAGATGCTTAAAAAAATTAAGAAGTCATTTGTAGCTTGCTTGAAGTTTATTAGTACAACTTAAACGATTGGTCATTTTTTTTTTTTTGAAATTAAACGATTGGTCATTTTGATATATGGCTACTATCATTGTCATTGGTTTTGCTTCACTCATGCAAGAACAGTTTGATTTCATTGGATTTTTATTTTCTAACTCTGTTTGGTTAATGCTTTTACTCTTTGTTTTTTGCCATTTGCCTTTTGTTTGCTGCTATTCTTTTTTTTTTTAATTTTTAACCTTTTGCTTTCTTTCATTTTTTGTTAAAAAGAAAAAAGAAAATAACAAAATCATCAACCAAACAGAGCCTAAATTATCTTATGTAGCGTCCTGTTTCAGTTGCTGTTACTCTTAATAGACCACCTTCCTTGGAGGTCGTAACGTGAATTTACCAAAGTTGTAAATCTGATGTGTATTTAATTTAAGCTTATAAATGCAGGACAATAACTGTTTGGACGATGTTAGATAAGAATCGTTCTTCTTAGGTACTTGTAGTGGAGGTTAATGTTTTATTGACACGTGGGGTACTGCCTTCTGGACGAATCGTGGGGCTTCAGTTGCAGGACCTATAGAAAATCCTGCAAGTTAAAAGGTAAACTGTAATTTCTTGCAACAAGTAATGTTTGGGCTTCTTCTCACATAAAATGATGGGAAATACTTCTGATTACATTCTGGCATGCAACTTGCCAAACATGTAATCATTCATATATCTGGTAATCATTTATCAAATACATAGGAAAGATAAAGAATAAAGAACACGGTTTTTCAATCTGTTCACATTCTTGTTAAACATGATCATGGCATAGTTAAGTTAGGTCAATATTTAAATGATTCTAATCATGTCAATGACATTGTCTTGACTAGTGTCTGTCTTATTTGTCGTACAATTTTAACAAGTGGGTGGCAATATGGCCGACATGATATAACAGATGCTTGACACGTACGTTTCACTTGCTTTATAATAAGACATTGGCATATGGTGACAGAAATTGTGTTTAAGGATAGGATCCAGCCAATTGATTAGTCTTTATATCTTGGTATCTAATTAATTATGTGGTTAGATTATGAAGGTAGAAATATTGGACTGGTAACGGACTGAAGGTAATTGAACTTATACAAGTGTTGTAAGAAAAGAAGGTATTGAATGGATAGGAACACATTAGTATGATTGTTCTTATAATTTAGAAACGGATCGAGGTAGAATTATAAATCTGAGACTATATGATGTTCCATAATAATCATAAAAAAAAAAAAGAGCATATGCCATTATTTTTGGAAAACAGCTTATGATGTTTGTTATTTGCTGGAAGAAAAATAATTATAGCTGAACTTTGTGTGAGCGATCAGAATGAGATGCTTTTAAGATATTAGTTGATTTCATTTTACAGAAGGCTGGTAATAAACTGATTGAGCTTCATTAACAGAGTTGTAGTAAAAGAAACTTTGGCCTAAGTTGATAATTGGTATATGCTCAAGAGAAATTTCAGGAAGGTAAACAGCTATAAGATAGTCATGTTTAATGGTGTAGACTGTAGAATAAGGAACCAAAATCCAAAAATGAAGTGATGAGAAATTTGTCAATGCATGAGTGACTAGAAATAATGTGAAGTTGACTTTGCATTGGGAATGGTTGAACATATCAGCATAACTGACTAGATCTATGGAGTCATTTCATGGGATGGTCATGGATAACTGGAGCAAATGTTTGACAAGATATCTAGTTTTGGCTAAATAGCTATAGGGGAAAGGGGAGGTCAAAAATGATGGGAGTGCAGAAATAGAAGTTGCCAAAATGAATGAACTTGTTAGTGAATGTGTGCCAATATGAATTGTTTTTCTTGGCCCAAACAGATATAAGAAGAAAATGTTAGAAGTTTTCTTTGACACGCTTCTCAATGGTACTTGTTTCTCTTGTATTTCGTAGAATTTCAATTTTACAAGTTTTAGATTCAATGCATGTAGATATTTTCTTTCTATTTTTTTTCCTGAAAAGCAGAATTTGTAGAGAGAAAATAAAGATCAGAGACAGGAAGGAGGCTTCACAGAAAAAGTACTCACATGCACACATTGGCTGTTCTTCGACCATTTTGAGCATCAGATATGTGAGAGTTTGCAGATTGTATCCCCCTAATGTGTAAATTTTTTTTTTAATGGAAGTGGATTCCATACTTTAATTGTTTAATATCTACTTGGTTAAAACCCAAAACTGTCACACAAGAATAGTGCCTAACATTTCTTTAAAGAGTCAACAAAACAATGCTGACAATTAAAGCTATTTCCACAATCCAACCTGTGCAATAGTTGTTTATATTTGACGGTTATGCAAGGTTAATATTGCCTCACGTTGATGTAAGTTGTTGACTTTTTCAGTAATGTAATAATGGTTCTTTTGCAACTTCTTGTTTAAGGTGTTGTTATTCTTTTAGCAAACTTCCCTGGAGATTCTTTTTATGGTCTACACAAAAGATATTATTGTATTCATCTTTTTCTTTTTCTTTTTTGTTCTCTATGTATATAACTTGTTTCGTAGCAGTTTCATTTACACTTTTTTAATCTTTTTCCTTTTTTGTTTCACCAGAGTAGCCCTTAAAATGAAGAGGCTGGTATGTCCTTAGGAGCATGTTTTGAATTAAATTGGTCAGTTAAAGATGTGGAAAAATTTCCTTGTCACATAGGAGTATTTGCTTCATGGCAACATCTGTCAAATGATGCTTCTCATTGCATGGACAAAATTTTGAAACCTTTTGATGGGTTTTGAGAGACAATTATGAATGGGACCTACTGCTGCTCCAAAATGCAAGCAAATAAACTTTATTCTTCCCATTAGCTTAATATTATCTAGAAGTGTCCAAAAATTTTGAAATAGATGATCAAAATTTTCAGGTGTTGCATATATCTGGTGGAGCATATGACTTGATTGAGAGTGATAATCTGTTTTATATTCATCTGTGCTAACATGAGGTCAGGTCTTGCCTTGGTTACAGTTTACCATTTTAACCATATCAGGTGCATGGAGTCTCCAAATTTTGTTCATTCTGTTCTTGTTATGTTTGCATAGGACTTCCATGATGGTTGGCTCTTGCCAATTATTTTGGACTTATTGTGACAGAATCCTGCAGGAAAGATGATTTAGCATCTCCAGTTGAAGCGGGATGGATTACTCATCTATGAAGTTCAAAGTCCTATGAGCAGGTTAGTTGCCATTTTCCTAATTGTACTATAATTTGCTTACCTTCATTAGTGTTTTCGTCACTTTTTAGATGAAAAATACTTTTCATGTTAGGTATGCGAAGGGTTCTGTTCCAAGGTGCAATGCATGGCATGTGATTTTTTTCTGGTGGGCTACAATCTGACAATGCAATCTTTTTTATGTCCACAACTGTGCACCCAAGTTACATTGAAACTAAAGGAGACACTAGGTCACAAGAGGCAAGAGTACATTAGACAGCAAAGCAGAACTGTATGATAACATTAATCTTGAATTCTTGGCCATGACCTCACTAAGCAAGCATGTCACAAGCTCCAATTCTTATGGGGGCTTCATTTATTTTGATATGGATCTGATGATGTTGTAGTTGCGTACTTATACCTAAATGTGCAAGTTGCATTATGGCATGGTAAAATAAATATATGGTCTCACATGGTCGATTTTCAATTCATTTTGTGGAATCAACCACTGCAGAAAGATTAATTCTTCCAGGCTTATGGAGAAGTATAAGTAGAATAGTTCTAAACTCGTTGGAAATTTGGGGTTGCAGGGTAGTAAATATAAGTTAGCTGAA